AAAAGACATAAATCATGTACAAAACAGGTTACGTTTACTTCCAATAAAAGAATGTTTAACAAAGAAATAAGCAGTGCGCATGTAAAAGATCCAGGTTTCATGTAATGTAATGAAAATTTAAAGTGCTCCTATTAAGCTATTTGAAAGGTTCATAATTTGGTTTTGGGAGTCCCCAACAACAGGTTTACATGCAAGGTCAAATTTTCTTATAATATGCATTTAATTTGACGTTATTTCTCAACGACTCTCAAACGATTCGTTAGAAGATTCATCTTTCCAAACCCCTCCGTTGCATGAGGCTGCTCTGCTCTGATTGGTCCGATGACCCAGTCTGTTGTGATTGGTCTACTGCGTACAGCGCATGTCACAAACGGAACACCCATCACCAGTACTGGAATATGGCTTATCAATAATACACCCTATTATAATAATAATAGTGCTCCACTCTGTTCTAAAAAGAAAGAATCAATTGTTTTACACTTATGTTAGCGAACCGGACTTGGTAGTGAAGACCCAAACAATAATGGTATATGTGTTAGCCGAACACAGACATAGAGTACTGATAAAGCACTGCAGTTTGTAAAGCAATGTATTACTCCATCCTTTATCATGACTCCAAGTACAACAGACATTGTATATGAAAATAAACCAAATTCACTTTCAGAGCGCAGAGGACAGCGTCTTCTCGACATTACGTTATCTACACGAACAAGCTACACCTTTTGATGTTTGTTTTCACAGGATGTCCAAGCAGAACGTAGGCAGGCATTATGCAAATGTAAGAATTTGTGATGTGTGAAATTCGCGGAATGGGATTTGAATTTAAAACTACTCGATTCAGCGGTTCAGAGTCGACTCTTTCTTTTGAGACACAATAACTTTATTTATGATGTACTTTCAGCTTTGCAGACCGTTTACTTTCACATTCAGCTACATTACTCACTGCATGACAGGTCATTTTCAAAAATCCAGTCATTTTCAAAAATCCATAATAGGGCACTTTAACTGATGATTTGGAAGTGAAATGAAATTATTTTGATTCATATAGAATTCTCTAAGCAAATATTAAATTGCTTTAATACTAAACATCTTAGAAAGTATAGCTTGAAACGGTTTATAACAACCAATAATGAATAGCACATCTAAGACTGCAAAGTCTGAATGGAGTCAACATTTCAATACAATACTGGCTTTGCAGGCACTGTATAAACACTTAATGAACAATAGCACATGTGGTTTTGAAGGCATGAGAACTACAAAAAATAGAGCAGGAAGAGATGTTGTCTTCCTAACATGATTAACAGAACATGATTCAGAAAACATCTTCCTGTACAAACACATATGTTAGCTATCAAATGGAAACATTCCATAGACTTGTATTGTTTTTCTATACAGCTAGTTATAAATACTTTATGCATTTCAACAGTTTTAAAAATCTTTATTTGCTTAATTTTTTAGACCGTTTTTGCTAATGAGGATGTCCCCAAAGGGAGGTTTCGTCAGATTTAACTAATTTCAGGGAACATATTTGCCACCAAAATATGGTTAAGTCAGCATACATACGGATACACATTAAAAACCTGAAAAAAGAATAACTTCTAATCTTTGATCGTAACTCAAGACAAGCACACACACAGCTCTACCCTAAAAGCAAACACACATACACAGGAATAATTGGAATGTATAAAACCACCTTAAGCAAGCATGCAGTGTGTGTGTGTGAGAGAGTTAGGATTGGTTTATAGAAATAAAATTATCCTATTTAAAGAAAACTGGGTGTGAATGTAAACTACTAACATGGATATGAACACAAGCTTGCTGTTTTTTTTTGTGTGTGAACTGGGATATGATAAACCACATTACTTTGAAGACACACCAGCATATGCTAATCGATCTCACTGGTCATGTGAGTGTTGTTATTGAGGAATTGGAGTGTGTGTGTGTGTGTGTGTGTGTGTGTGTGCGCGTCCAAACGGGATTAAAGAAACAAAAGGACCCAGTGTTCCTTAAATCCCACAAATATCCAGCCTCTCTCTCCGGGACTCTCTGTATTAAAATCACCGTTTGTTTTTAATAAATCATCTGTGTCTTTTGTGATTTTTATATTTACTTTAGACCTCGAGTTCAATCACACAATGTACGGACACGACATTTTCCGTAATACATTAGTTCTGCGTTTATTAATTAGAAATATCAATATGTAGGCTAAACTGTGATTGGAAATTATAGGTCATAATTTGGAGTGCATTTGTTTTGCAGTTGCTAATGAGAAATATTAATATGTAGGCTAAACTATACTTGGAAATGATTGTTGAAAGAATGTGCACACTTATCTTGTAATTAAATTAATGAAAATATGTGTCCCTTTTGTTGTTTTTTATTGTGGTTTTACCTCTTCTTAGAAAAACTATTGAGAATAATTGAATTTCATCGATTTAAAATGTTCTTTAATATAGACGTATTTTCGTTTGTTTATCGCTTGTCTTCCGGTTCTCTGCTGTGATCGCTCTGTGCTTATCATCTGTAGTGTTTTATATAGTTTCCCCCGTTGTGTGTCAGCTGGAGAGGGATTTTTGAGTCATATCTCCGCGCTGTATGATAATAGTTTTGTCGTATGATTGTGAGGATGTGAATGAGCGCGTGTAAAGCGGATTCTGCGCTGGTTAATTGAATCGGATTTCTTCTAGTTTCAAATGCACAGAAACTCTATAAGGGGTTTATCTGCAGATATAAAGAGACACTGACAGTATAACAGCCTCTGTTCAGAACTTTCATATCTCTCATATCTGTTTCAGATGTTCAGGCCGCGGATACATCTTCATCATCATCATCATCTTCATCTTCATCATCATCATCATCACCACCACACCCTCGTTTCGTGGGAGGGACATCATTCTCTGGGCTGTGAGGTCGTTTTGTCGCCTAAGAGTCAAGCAGTGTTATTTTAGTATTTTTTATATATATATAATTGTGTAGTATGTGCACGGGTGGGCTGCACAGATGCCTTATGAGTAACCCATGACTACATGTGATCTGGTGCACACTTCAGATCAGGTCATTGCTAGCATATGTCTCTGTGTTTTATATTTTTCATATGTGCACGACTGCTTAAAAGTTTGTGGTCAATAAGATGATTTTAGATGAATCATAAGAATCTGTTCACTAAAGACTGGAGTAATGATGCTGAAAATGCAGCTTTGCCATCACAGAAACAAATTACATTTTGCAATAAATTAAAATAGAAATCAGTTATTTTCAATTGTAATAATATTTCACAATATTGCTGTTTTTACTGTATTTTTGATCAAATAAATGCAGCCTTAGTGAAAATATTAGACTTATGAGAAATTAAAAAATCTTATTGACCCCAAAATTTTGAATGGTGGTATCTGAGCATTTTTTCCATAATAGACCATCAGATCCATAATTAGTCTGAGCCGGCTCATTTTTTAAAGTTTTTCAACCAGCAGCGGCAGCATGATCATGTGATCACAGCTTACTGAAGTCACAAGGCACTTTATGGTTGTCTGCAGAGTCTGAAATGCTGGCATACTGCTGAGAGCACATCAGATGGTTCATATGACGATAAATTAATGCGTGAGCGGTAAAAACCACTAAAGTGGGACCCACTTTATATTAAGTGGCCTTAACAACTATGTACTTACATTGTGTGCTGATATAAGTCAAACATGTTCTCACAATGCTTACATGAATGTAATTATATCACATTACACAAATGTTAGGACAAGAAACTGGGTGGAGGTCATCAGGATTCAGGATACGTGAGATATGAGATGAGGCAGTCAGAATCATAAAGATTTATGGAGATGTTTATTGTTGCTTTAGTGCTATAAACTGGTCTTAATGAAAAGCTTATTGATGCTCAATACTGTTTACAGGTCATGATATGTTAATCTAAAAGCTTAGTGTGCTGTTGTGCTTTGAAAAGAAGGCACTAACAAACACAGTTACCTTCTAGAAAGAAAGTCACAAGTTTGATCTTTTTAAATGACTCCTGCTTCTTTTACTACATCGTTCAACATATATGTGTGTGTGTGTGTGTGTGTAACACCTAAACCTACCTCTCACATGAAACTTTGTGCATTTTTACAATCAAAAATCAAAGAAACTCATTCGGTATGATTTATAAGCGTCTGTACCCATGGAGACCTCAATTTAGGTCCCCACAGTGACAAAAGTCCCCATGAGTTGGTGTGTATTCAGATTTAAGTCCTCACCAGTGTAGAAAAACATGTACACACACACACACACACACACACACAGACACACACACACACACACAGACGCAGTCCAGCTCTGTATGCTGGCACACATTTTATCTTGTTGGTGCAAAAATTAAACATTAATGCCTGAAAATAAGGTTGTTCTTTTACAGCATGTTAAAGTGTGTGAAATCTATTGAACACAGGGATTCTCACCCAACCAACACCACTATGCTAACAGATTTGTTCAGCTCTACAGTTGTTGCATTTTGCAGCACGTGTAAAAAGAATGGCCATATGTGTCCATCATGATTATATATTGTACAGTATTGTGACTGCAGTTGGCTCACCAAGGTAGCAACAGGATCGAAATGAATATTTCTCTTTCTCTGACTCTTTATTATAACCAAATAAATGTAGGAAGCTAAGAAAGTTAATCCAGGGTTTAGGAATTGACAGTGTCAAACATTGAATTGATTTTTTTTTTAATAGCATCTAGTCACCGTTCACTTTCATTATATGCAGAAGTGTAGCATGAACATCCTTCTTAACATCTACATAAGAAAGAACAGGAATGGCGGGGGGGTTTTTTGTGTGAAATATGCTTCTTGTTTGTTTTTTTCAGCTGAAAAACCGTGCTTTATAAAAACTGTCCTTTAGAAAACTGCACCAATGTTACAGTCTCACACCAGCGGCAGACGGCCATAATCATTATGTGTCGTGTCAGTATGTATGCAGTTATTCTGAGGATAATAGCTCTCTGTTTTTCTCTCCCAGTTAATGAGTACCTGTTCATGGTTCAGGCCCGTGGAATCCAGATCCGTGAGAATGTGAGGAATATGGGAGCTCAGGTTCTTGAGCAGATGGTCCGCAGTGCCTACAACACCACCGGCACAGGTACGAAATACTCCTGATATATTCTCATCATTGTTATGAAGAGCAGAGAACAGACCACTTATCTCGCTTCCTATAGAACATCCCGTCAGCAGCAATGACATATCCTCAGGAAATGAAGGCATTATATCCGTCTGAGACCCACCAAAACAAGCAGTTTTGTTGGAAGACACTTTAGCAAATAATGTTTTTCATTCATAAAACAAGGTTAAAATTTAAGCCAGTGTTCAACTTTAACATACTTTGCAACACCGATTCAATGAAAATGTTTAATAAAATGTATAAAAAAACATGTTTGTATTGTGTTGTTGAATGTACACTTGTAAACGTATAACTATAACAAAACCAAAAGAGGGAGTTTTCATGGCCAAACCCCCAAACATCTGTACCTCTGCAAAGTCCAGGGTGGGATTTAGGATACATATATATATATACATATATATAATAAAAACCAATGGGCAGAAAAGAACTGCTGAGTCTTGGGAAGACAGTTGGGGTGTCTGTCATGTTTTACTGTGTGAATGTTTGATTCTCTTATTTTCTAGACTATACATATGAGTTTAACTTAAGTGAGACAGATGTTCCCACCACTCCTTACCTCCCAGAGGGCTTCACATACATGCCTGATCAGGTCTGCCCGGAGAAACTGCCCTCCATGAGTAAGTGCAGAAACGTAATGTTTCTTTCGGTACTCTTGGGGAAGCACGCTTCAGAAGGTCATTTCCGTCAGTGAGTGAGTTGTTAAAGCTGATAAGAGTCATTTCATTAATGAGAATCCTCCGGTTGCACTTTGCATTTGTTGATGAAAGAATGCAGCCGTTGAAGAACCATTAACAGAACCAGAAAATCATCCATCCTATGTCACCCTGAAGGGGGTTATTTCACATCAATGAACAGACAATAAATATTACATGGCTACCAGATAAAAACTAAACGCACTTGAAGTATTTGAAAGTGGTTTTGGAATAGAGCTTGTACAGCTTTGTTTCTGGTGTCGCTAGCTGTAATTACAATGAATGTGCTCACAAAGCTCACATAAACGCTGGTATGATTAACAGCAGTTATTACAATATGCGTGTTCTCTCTTGCTGTCTGTCAGAGGGCCAGCTGAAGGTGAACATGAGTGAGATCGCTCTAGAGGAGGTGGAGAAATTTCTCAAGAAGGCAGATCCAAGTCTGTCACGCGGGGGCCACTGGAAACCGCACGACTGTCTCCCACGCTGGAAGGTTAGTCACTTGTACTTGCTGCTGCTGTCAGACGTTGAAAATAAAAAAACCCTGCTATCTCTTACCTGTTTCTGTGTGTGTGTGTGTGTGTGTGTGTGTGTTTTGTGGTTGTGGTCTGAGGGGTAGAAAAGGCTCTGTTGCAAGATGAGTCGAGGCTCCCTGTAAAGTCTGTTATTTTTTAAACGCTTGTCATTTGCTTCTCTTTGTGTAGCTATATACACTGGGACCCAGTATTCATAAAAGTTTTCATTTGGATGTAAAATGCTTCTGTTGAAAACAATTGTTTCGAAATTGAAATGTTTTATGCAAGAAGCAGAAGAATATTTTTTTTTATGAAATAGTATATTCTTCAGTATAGTAATACACATATTGCTACACATCACACAAAATCTCTTTTCTAAGGCAATTTAAAGCACATATGGGACAGTAAAATTGTGATGAAACCGTTTAGTCATTGAATCAGACTTAGGAAACAATTGAAATGGATAAAATGACGGTAACACTTTATTTCGATAGTCCACTTTAGACATTCTATTAACAGTAAGTAACTTTGCAACTACATGTCAACTAGCAGTTAGTAGAGTATTAGTAGACTGTCTGCTTAATATCTTCTAACACTTTCTTTGTCAACTTATTCTACTAACCCTAAACCTACCCTAACAGTCTACTCTGAGAGTTAGTAGACATGTAGTTGCAAATTAATGAGAATTAGTTGACATGTAGTTGACATGTAGTTACAAAGTTACTTATAGTTAGTAGAATGTCTAAAGTGGACTATCGAAATAAAGTGTAACCAAAATGACAATTGCATGGAAATGAATTAAACTCTTATAAGTATTTTTTATTTTTATTATTTTTTTTTTGCATTTGTGAATTTTAAATAAGATACAACATTGGGACAACCTTTAAAAAACATCTAATAAAAAGTGTGCTAAAATCATGAAGATATTTACAATGGTGGTTATAATAAAAAAAAAAAAAAAAATCCGTACCCACTGTATATATCCATCTTTAAATATTCAATATTTATCACCCAGCCCTGACACACACACATACAAATACATCTTAAATATTTGAATGTCTGTAGCAGTAATAGAAATGTGGGCATCTTTGACACTGAGAACTGATATTTCCTCATTTTTGCAGTCATTTTGCTATTTCATGTGTTTTAGGTGGCCATCTTGGTTCCTTTCCGTAATCGCCATGAGCACCTTCCCATACTTTTCCGACATCTGATCCCAGCACTGCAGAGGCAGAGACTGCAGTTCGGCTTCTATGTCATTGAACAGGTCAGGAAAAGGAAAGTTGTCACACTGTATAACCTTGTGTGGCTCAAGTATCCAAATTCTTTTTACAGCAACTGTACAAATTTATATAGTGCAAAAACTGTTTGTGTAGTATGGTAGTAGGTTACGCTATTCTGACCCATAATATTTGGACTGTCACACCATTTGTCAAGCTATTCTAAATTGTCCCATTGAAACACAGCCGAACATAAGATTTCTTTTACAAACGATTTAAAAAATATATTTTTTTTTAAGTAGTGGGGAGAGTAAAGATAAAGGAAAGAAAGTTGAATGTTTGTGTGTGTCCACAGGCAGGAAATGAACCGTTCAATCGTGCCATGCTGTTTAATGTCGGTTTCAAAGAGGCCATGAAGGACTTGAACTGGGATTGTGTAATATTTCACGATGTTGACCACATTCTGGAAAATGACCGCAACTACTATGGATGTGGTGAAATGCCAAGACACTTTGCAGTCAAACTCAACAAGTACTCTTACATGTACGTTTTCATAACACACTGCTTTCTCTGTATGTATGATGTTTGGTTGTGAATAAAGATTCGGATCTCTCTGAACATGCAGGCTTCCGTATGAGGAGTTCTTTGGTGGTGTGAGTGGGCTCACCGTGGAGCAGTTCAGGAAGATAAATGGCTTTCCCAATGCATTCTGGGGCTGGGGAGGGGAAGACGACGACCTTTGGAACAGGTACGAAGTTGAAATTCTGAAACTGTTAACAGGATTTTGCAACGCAATGATCTCATGTCTTTTCAAAAGAGTCACTCCCACAAAAGTGGTCTAGCTGCCAGTTTACTGTAAAAGATGATAGTAATGCTTCCTGGACTGGACCATCTGGATCCCACTAAATGTTTAATATGTACTATAAAAGGAATGATTGCCAATGGACGTTAAAGGTGCGCTCAGTAATTTCCCCTCAATTAAGATGGATTACGCCAAAAAAAAAAAAATTGTACTTTTGAAAAACATGATTTGCAAAGCTTAATTTTATTTTACATGGAGTGCTTCATGAGTGCTACCATTACTCTTAAAAAGAAGTACATTTTAAGTTAATTTTATTAAGTAAAGTTCAAGTATATTATCATATAGTAAGTATACTAAAATCAATGTTCTGCTAGTATATTTGTATCATCCCAACATCATACTTATAGTTTATTCACACCATAGAAGAATTGTCAGTAAAATCAGCTAAATGAAGATCTGTCTGTACAAAAAAAAAAAAAAGATCAGGTTCGGTTCCACCAACATACTATTCAATTATTCCAACCAAAAGCTGACTTATTACTATAAACTTGAACAAGTTTATGAGATAGTATGTAAAACATATGCTGGAGTACACCAGTATGTGTGACACATAGGTTACTCTGTCAAAAGAGTAAACAAAACTACAAGCTAAGTAAGCTTGGAATATGAAAAGATCAAAAGATTAAAGGGGTCATATGATGCTGCTAAAAAGAACATTATTTTGTGTATTTGGTGTAATGAAATGTGTTTATGCGGTTTAAGGTTAAAAAAGCACATTATTTTCCACATACTGTACATTATTGTTTCTCCTCTATGCCCCGTCTTTCTGAAACGCGTCGATTTTTACAAAACTAATCGGATCTCTTTGGATTTGAGGCTTTAGTCTTTGCAACTTTACAGATCTTCTTTATGCACCAAGAGCTTGTAACACTCCAAAGAGAAAGGAAAAATTGAAATCGCATCATATGACCCCTTTAAGTAGAAGTATAGGCCAAATATATTGTTCTGATTACTTGTCAGTATACAAGCCAAGTACACATAAGTATAAATTCGCTAAGTATTTGTCATAAAAAGAAGACTAAAAGTATTTTTGTTTTTGTTTTAAGAAGTATACTGAAGTATACTAACAACCCTGTAGAATAAACTTATTTTTCGTAACGGCAGCCAAATACCACAGTACTCCGTGTACTACAGCCTTGGGTAAGCCACCTATTATGAAACACATCCGTACATAGAGTAAATTCATCGTGGGTGACTGTGAATAGTGAATTTCGGCATCTGTAACCAAAAACTATTGCTTCTGCATGATGTTGCATCGATACAGTATAGTTTGCATCGTAAATAGTTAATTTAGTAAATATTGTAAATAGTCCTTCACTTCTTGCAGTGACTTGGAACATAGTTGACACTTACATGTGTTTTTCCAGGGTTCTGTTTGCTGGCTACAAAGTGAGTCGGCCTCACGGAGACATTGGTCGTTACATGTCTATACCACACCACCACCGCGGGGAAGTCCAGTTTCTGGGCCGGTAAGATGAGAACAGCCCTTTCGAAATATTTCTTTTGCCATATTTCAGACGACATCCTGAGCACATGCAGTCATCCTCCAAGTGCACACTTTGGTGACGTCGTATGAATTGTTGGGTACTAGAATGCAACGGTTCTTACATAAACAATTATTATGTCAATTGTTGCATTGAATTGAATTGAATTTAATGGAAAAGGCCCGATCTTTCGTAAGATTACGCCTTATTCATGAAACACGAGCAGAACAGATTATCTATATAGTTTATCATTCCTAAATCCATTCTTGTGTAAATTATTGAACTAAATGAACGTAAAATAAGAATGTCGGAGTAAATTAAAATTAAAACCATTCTTGCATAAATTGTTTCATTGACGAAAGCAACAGTTTACACGCGATCAGATCATTCAACATACAAGCACCAAAAAAATAAATGTAAACTGTTTGTAAAATCATATTTACATACATTTTGGGTAACACTTTATTTTAGGGGCCAGTTCTCACTGTTAACTAGTTGCTTATTAGCATGCATATTACTAGCATATTGTCTGTTTAATAGTACTTATAAAGCACATTTTAATGTCTTATTCTGTATGAGCATATACTAGATCCCTTAATCCACCCCTTACCTAAACTTAACAACTACCTCACTATTAATAATAAGCAAATTAGGAGTTTACTGAAGCAAAAGTCATAGTTAATAGTTGGATGCCAAACTAAAGTGTGACCAAATATGGTTTTATGAATGAGGCCCAGTAGTTTTACGGACATTCATTCTGCTCATGTTTCATGAATAAAGTCCAGTACATTACAATTTGTTCTGCTTGTGTTTCATTAACGGGATGAAAGGCAAGGCCAAACAAGTTTTTGACAGGTTGCTGAAAACACATTTTCTCCTTTTGTTTTTCAGATACAAGTTGCTCCGTAGATCCAAGGAGAGACAGAGCCTGGACGGCCTGAATAACTTGAATTACTCCCCTCCAGTGTCCCGGAAGAGTCTGTACACTAATGTGTCATTGACGCTCAGTCGAGAGCTGGCCCCTGTCGCCGATTACTGACATCACACAAGGGACGGGCAAGAGAGACCCACGCCACATGCTACACCACCATTTTTATAATTTTTTTTTGTTTTTTAGGAAGGGGAGGGGATTTCACAAATCTTTTAATACTCAGTGCATTTTTTTTTCTTTTTTCTTTCATTTTTATATATAGTTTTTTTTTTCTACTTAATTTTTTAAGCTAATTTTACCAGATTTGTGTTTATTTTCCTTTGTTACTCATCAACTGTCTGTCTATCATGTGAATGGATCAGTTCTTGAATCCAAAACCCCAACTGCTGGTTTACTCTCGTCGGACCAGTCAGATCCGACATGTGGTGTGTCTTCTAATCAGACTTCGCCTGGGGGGGAAGTCGCATGTTTACAGCATGAATGAGAAAAGCTATTGAACAAGTTAATGACAATTATGCTAAACGACTTCAGAATAGCCATTGTAGGAGTTGAGGGATATGCCCTTTTCTCTGCCAGAAACAAGCACAGCTGGTTCTGTGCATTAGAATATAAACTAATAAATGCAGATTTATTAAAGAGATTTATTAGATGTACAATAAATAAGCATGCACTGATACTTACAGTAGATGCTACTAACATCACGGCTTTAAGTGGGAGTATTCGCTCATGAAACATGGAAATTAATACATTTAATCATTTTAGCTGTACAATACAAACGTGCTCATCTACCGCAGCACAGTTTTTAGACGTATTCATCACAAAGAGATTTCTCGACATTAGAATGACCCCATGAAATGGCTTGAAAAGCACAGCGTCCTTTCCTGTGTTCATGTATTTTCCAATAAAACAGGGCGTTGGGGCATATCAAAGGGCTTGTACCTTTTTTAAATGGCCAGTAGCTTTTAGTTTATGATTTGCTACTTGTCATTTCTAGTCAGAGGCAAGCGGTATTGAGTGGTGGACATTCAATTAAATTAAATTAAATTAAATTAAAATGGCACAGAAGTGCAAGATTATGGCGCTTTTCCACTGCATGGTACGGCACGGTACGGCTCGGTATGGTTCACTTTTGGGGGGGTTTCCACCGGGGACCGTACCTGGTACCTGGTACTTTTTTTCATAACACCTCGGTTGAGGTTCCAAGTGAACCGTACCGTTACCAAAACGTGATGTGTAAACTCTGCTGATCACGGATTGGCCGGAGAGAATCGTCACTACCTGCGTCACTGAACTTGCGACACAAACACAAAAGAACCGCTAGATTTAAATCAGCACAGCCAGCGAAGGATCGAACGCAACTGTTTTGAACGAGCGCACCTTTTTTTAACAACCAAAACGTTTTGTTGTCTGTTGCGGAAGAACAGACGTTCCTCTCGTTGATAGCAGAGGAGCGGATCCAGCGAGAGCTTGATGGGCGACACGGAATTAAACATTTTTTTTTAGGAGCCGTGGCAGTAGAGGCGGCGCAACTATAACGACATGTGAATAATCCCGCCCACTCTAAAGCGGTACTGAACTGCAGAGGAAACGCAAACCGAACCGTGCCGTGCCGAGCCGAGTCGTACCACGCAGTGGAAAAGCGACATAAGTCATCTATATTTACGGGCCGTTTTCCCTGAAGAGATATTTAGATTTTTACTGTAATTTGGATCGGTTTATCTGCTAAAAGTGAGTTTCCTCAAATCTTGGGAGTACACCAGCATATCAGACCTAATAGATGTGGACTAGAAGCCACAAAACGAGTTCTAAGAGCCGTATACAAACCACTGCAATGCCAGCAAAATGCGCCTCGGACTGAAAGGTCACGCATTTTTGCTCCAACACTGGAATATGTGTCATTGGAACTAGATTAGGAACAGCTGACTTGTTAGTTTTAGGATTCGTCATATTTATGTGGGTCTGCTGGTCATTTAAACCACTGGATTGTCTGTCAAACGAGCATTCTGTTGTTTGTGCTAACAGAAGTGTTTTTCCATCAGTTCATGCTTACGTTGTGTAGAGAAGTGTTTCCCATGCACTGCCCTTCACAGTCAAATCAACATGCTTTGCATTCTGAGCAGTATGCTGTTGCCTCACTGCGTGTGTAGTCACCTCACCTCATGCGAGTGGGTTAGAAAACTCAGTTCAGCTATAAAGATTTACTAGAGCCAATATTTGACATTTTTTTAATTTTGAGTGTTGTTGCCTCCTGAACTGAATTTGGACAAACAGACTGTGCAACTCTATTAGACCAAACACACTTTGGGCCTCATTCATGAAACTGCATTCAACAACTTCCATTCAAGAAATGTGTAGAAACACTTGCAAGTCGTTCAAGAAATATGACGTGACATTCGTGAAAGCAGACTGAATTTCTGCATCATCATTCATAAAAACATTCTTGCGCAATTCGACGCATTGATATTTATGAACAACTTGCACTGAAATTGGTTCGGTTTTATAATATCCTGAGATACAATGTCCACGTCAGTCATTTATGAATCATAAATGAGGCCCTTTGCTTTCACTCTCACCGTAATAGCACATTCTCATTACACGCGTTTATGTCGTTTACAGATCTTAGGGGTTTCGTAATGCGTATTTGTGAGCCTGTTCGTGTGCATTCTTCATATCGGAGAGGCTGGCCCTCGTATTTATTCATTCTTTTATGAACATATTTGTTTTTTTTAATTAGTTTTAGTTCATTTTTACATATTTCTATCTTGTTTTACTGTAATTGTGATTATTTTGAGGGAAACGATAGATCAAGTTAGATAACTGTGATGTAAAAACAAGCACTGAAATATGTTATGGCATACAATGTGAGGCTGATCTTGGGAAGAGAGTCTGTTGCTGTTTAACTGAATGGACGGCTGTTTCGGATGATGACACGAGAGAACAGAGACGGTTCTTGAGCGCCCGCCCAGATAACCAATGGTGCTGACCTCACAGACATTAGAACTGTGCTGCCGTGGTACTTTTGCCTTGTAACAGATAATTATACGAGATTGAAACTAATTACACTCTTGCCTCATTGATCTTCTCGGCAGCGTAATCTATCCGTGTAGCAGGTAAATTGTGTTTAGCTGGACATGCGCTCAAGCAGGTTTTTCTAATGTTTGATTCTCTCTGTGTTTGACGCTCATGGAGTTTTGCGCCAATGTTTGGGGTCTTTTTTTTACTCATTTAATTAAAGATTAGTACTCTCACACCAAACCCGGTGCAATATGACTGGATTCCAGCACGATGCTGCAGAGTTAAAAACCAACAAAACGTCCTCTTGCTTGTCAAGTTTGGTTTGGAATAAGAACTTGTTGCTGTATTGCGCGTCTAAATACACTTTACATCCATAAAAATAAGGCACAATTTAGGAAAGTAAGGAATTTTTTTTTTTTTTTTTTATGAATTAAATAAGGATTTGAATGTTTCAGTTCATTCAGTATGATTTATTTTTCTTTCTTTTTTTGTGTTACCATTCATTTAGTTTTTTTCCACTTTATAATTAGAGTTATATGTTTAGTGTCAGGAACAGGTTTTATTTTGTAGAATCAAAAGTCTGTTGCACCTGCTGGGTTTATTTAACAATATTTAACTATGTTAATGTGTTTTTTTCACTTGTGCATATTGTGTAGTGTGTTTTGGAGCAAAAAAAATGTTTTTAGGCATACAAAGGCATATAAAGGAACTTCAAAGATGGACTTACTATTAAAAAAGAATTTGGAGCTCTTTAGTCAGGCAATGATTTGGTGCCATTGACCTCTCTGTGAATGCCATAAGCTGTATTTTCTATTCACTCCAAAATTATTATTATTTTTTAAAAATCATAACAGGCCTTAAATACTGTTTTTAGGATCATTTGTGATGATGAAGATGTTCCTCTATGACATTATCATGTCTTATTAAGATGTTTTGTCGGCCAAACACGCAAATTGTCCAAACCTCTGCATCCCGAAATGAATCATTCAACATTATTTGTATAATATCAAGACAACTGAAATGTTTTGAGAAAATAAGATGCTGTCGTCCATTATAAGGAGATCAGGTCTCCTTGAAGTGAAGTCATCTGCCACTCGTACAACACATCTTGGCCTTAGTGTTGCTGTATGAATGATCTTTCAATAGAGACACTTTCTATGATGTAAGATCTCCTTTTTTTCTATTATCATTGTTGAAATGGCTGAAGTACACCAATAAAAGTAACTTTAGGCAATATCTTTTGTTGTTTGGTATGTTTGAATGCTGCATTAGCTGAAGTGGGTGTAGTGATTTTCAGATGTTAGATAGCTTAAATGTAAATCACCACTAAATGTAGCGATTTCAAATCTAAGTAGCAGCACCAGTGTAATGGCTTTGGGCTTAAATATTAATATTTAGTTTTGGTCACACTATTTTTCACGGGGCACCAGCCAGGAATTTCACCTTGACAGTAAAGAACAATCATGTAAGATTGTTGAATAAATAAGAATTACATAAATTGGAGGAAGTTGTAATCTGACCAATCTGAAGGATTTTAGAGATATCGTTAACTTAGAGCCTCTTATTGAGTTATCAACACAAGGAAGCCTCAAGTGTAATAAAAGGGGTTGTATTAACAAAAGGATAGACAAGAGTAACTAACAACTAATAAATTGGTACAATGAGTGCAAAAGATTGATAGATGCAAGTGACTGAGTTGGATGTTACTATGGACGTTATTTTATGGAAAGATAAACTGAAGTTTCCTGGAAGTAATAAGGCAAACCTTATTCTAGATTCAGCAAATAAATCGAGAGATTATTTGTTATTAACTGACATCATCTATATAAAATCTAATGCAAAATAGATAATCATAAACTGACAATACACTCTAATGTCAATGGTCTCTGGAAAGAGGTTTGGAAAGAGTGATAGTTATGTTCCGCGTCTGGGCCACGGCGTCTTCCACTTGTTGACCTGAGCCACGCTGCAGTGGTGGCTCCACAGTCTTGAACACGATGCACTGGTGAATGATGAACTCCTGAGCACAGAGAAGGTCCTTGGTCTGGAAACACACAAATAGAGGAGCCTTGAAGGTGAAGGTTCTGAAGTCTGTACAGAAGATCCTGGCAACCTGGAACACGCAGGAGAAGGACGAGACAATTCTGAAGTTGTTGCAGAAGATGGGGGTCACTAGGCTTGTGGTCGTTGTTGCTGTGGCAGTTTCCCAAACTCCCCAAATTCACTTCTTGCAGAACTTCCTTGTTTCTCAGTAGTACAACAACAGCAGCTTAGCACATCTTGGCTTAGCACATTCCTCTTAGCACACAGTAGAGAAACAACAGCTTAGCACACTTCTTTGTGTTGAAGAGAACCTTTTGATCTTTCCTGAGAAGGAGGGTTTGCAAGTTGGCGCATTTCAGTTCCTGCGTTTTGATTGGCTGATGCTGTCGAAGGTGGCCGTGGTATGACCCCCTGATATTAAAGTCCAAGTTTAGAACAATGTCTTTAAGGTTTTTCCTATGCTTAATTCACTTTCCAAACCAATTCCATATTAACCTACACATTGTGCTGAAAATATGAAGACCAAACCTCAATGGGTAATGCTGATCATTGACCCATGCATTCATATATACAGTATATATAGGTAAGGTTGCATGCATTGTTGTATCACACGCAGCACTCATTACGTATATACAGTTTTATAAATGGATTTGAAGAAGGTTTAATCAACTTTGAGTCCATTTTGTCTGAACGCATGTGAAGATGTGACCTTCCCTTGTGGCTTCAGAAAAAGGCAAATCCAGTTTGGTCAGTCTGAGTGGTCGTTCACACTTAGGTCTCAAAAATGAGTGACTGTGATCAGTGAAAGAGCATGTGGTGATTGGATCAGTCTTTGAACAATGGAATGCTGAAGTCCTCATTCCTGCCTTCCACAAATGGTAAGCTTGAGGGAGAACAAAGCAGCTCCTGAATGGGGGATACTGTATGTTAATGTACCCCCCCCGCAAGAGGTAGGGTTGTTTATCTGAAGACAAAAGGCCACAAAGCCTGATCAAACCAAAATGAAGCTGTCATCTGC